CTTTAAATCCTTGCTCTATGAAAACCTAGCAGTCTGATCTTGTTTAAGTCAGCTAACCTCTCCCAGCCTCAGTTTTCTTACTGGGAAAAGGAATACTAAACACCTAAACTTGGAAGTATGTTACTAATATTTTCAATGAGATAACATTTGTGATAGTATCCTGTAATGCTTGCACATAGTAGGTGCTCAGTAAATGTCTTCAACAAGCATTTACTGAGTTTCCTCCATGTTCCAGACACTGTTTTAAGCACAAAGATCTCTGCCCTCATGGAGCTTACACTCAGATGTGGGGAGGGGAAAGAAAACAATGAACATAATGAAGAAACAAATTATATTGTACACCAAATGGCAACATAATCCATTTTATATTGAAAATTCATGTAGTGTAAGTAGTCATAGCCTTTAACACCTGCAGGGTCCAGGAAAGTAATCAAAATAAATAAGTTAGGTTGGTTGAAAAGAGCAGCCCTTTTTATTATTCTGCTTTTGTGAAGATAAGAGCACAAAAAATACATCTCTTTTCCTTCCTACATCTACCTTCAGAAAACAATAGTACAAGTGTCATGATAAATGGCAATTGACAGCCTTCTTATCTGAGACATAAATGGCAAAGCCTCCTAGGGCTCTGGCACTGGCAGAGACCCTGGGAAAGTCACTTGTTACTTCCAAGCAAGTGGTGGTCTTTGGGAATATGGACTCCGTGTTGCCAGACCCGCCAATTTTTCAAGCAAAGTCACAAATTTGCATTTGGGGTGAAATATCCTGATTTTTAATATAGCAGTTTATTCACAATTTTTTCAACTGTAAAAGCTTCTCCTCTCCTCCCCCAAAACCCCCCAAAATTTGCAGGCCACATATGGTTTAAGGAAGTAATCAGGTTTAAATCTCTGAAAAAAACTGAGGTTTTATTTATGGCACTTTAAAAATAAGCTTTAGCTCGGCAGTATTTTGTAAAACTTGGCATGTGAAAGAGTGTGAGCCACTCAAACTACTACATAGTCCACTAACTATTTTTTTTTATTGGAGTGTAGTTGCTTTAGAATGTTGTGTTAGTTTCTGCTGTACAGCGAAGTGAATCAGCTATATGTACACATATATCTCTTCCCTCTTGGACCTCCCTCCCACCCCCATCCCACCCATCTATGTCATCACAGGGCACTGAGCTGACTCCCTGTGCGATACAGCCGGTTCCCACTGGCTATTTATTTTACACATGATAGTGTATATATGTCAATCCTAATCTCCCAATTCATCCCACCCTCCCCTTCTACCCACCCACCCCCGTCCACATGTCTGTTCTCTATGTCTGCGTCTCTATTCCTGCCCTGCAAATCATTATATAAGGAATAAATATTTTGCTAAGAATCTTACTGACCCGGGGCAGGAAACACTGGTTAAGAATAAGAAACAATATTTCTCCTGCATATTTGCCCCCAGATTACCTCCTATCATTATTAAACGTCTTCCTTAGTTACAGTGCCCTGATTTTGTTCAGCTGATAAACCACATTTCTCACTCTCTCTTGCAGCTAGGGATGGACAAGTGACTAAGTTCTCCCAAGGGTATGTAGGCAGGAGTTGTTGGAGGGAGCTTCTGGAAACGCTCCCTAAAAAGAAAGTCTTCCTCCTTCCTCTTTTTTTCCTGCCTCAGACTCAGACGTGATAGCTGGAGTTGCATGAGCCATCTTGTGATTGTGAAGCAATTTGTACAAAGGATGGTTGAGCAGAAAAAGTGAAGGCTCCTGGGACATTGATGATATTAAGAAGCCCCTGTAGGGCTTCCCTGGTGGCGAGTGGTTGAGAGTCCGCCTGCCGATGCAGGGGACATGGGTTCATGTCCCGGTCTGGGAGGATCCCACATGCCGCGGAGTGGCTGGGCCCGTGAGCCATGGCCACTGAGCCTGCACGTCCGGAGCCTGTGCTCTGCAACGGGAGAGGCCACGGCAGTGAAAGGCCCGCGTACCGAAAAAAATAAAAAATTTAAAAAAATAAAGAAGCCCCTGTAAGTCCAAGACTCTGAACTTGTTTTACATTAGTGAAAATGAACTTTTGCCTATTTAAACCACTTTATAAGAAATTGATTCTTTACAAGAAATTGATTACGTTAAGAGATAATTAAGAGGTAGAGAGAACTGGTTGTAGTTCTGTGTGGGATGTTGGATGGGGGAGGGCAGAGGGGGAAGAGTCAAGGGTGATGCCCAGGTTTCTGGCTTTGGCTACTGGGCGACAATGTGCCCTGAGCAGGCAGGATCAGGTGGTTCATGATGTCTAAATAAATAAATAAGCCACTTTATTTCTGTTACCAAGTAGTCTAATACAAGTCCTGAGATTTTTTTTTTTTTTTTTTTTTTTTTTTTTTGCGGTACACGGGCCTCTCACTGTTGTGGCCTCTCCCGTTGCGGAGCACAGGCTCCGGACGCTCAGGCTCAGCGGCCATGGCTCACGGGCCCAGCCGCTCCGCGGCATGTGGGATCTTCCCGGACCGGGGCACGAACCCGTGTCCCCTGCATCGGCAGGCGGACTCTCAACCACTGCGCCACCAGGGAAGCCCCTGAGATCATTTTTAAAATACCTTTTTATATAACCTCTAATGTGGAAGAGCAGAATTCCAACTAAGTTAATAGGCATGTGGAATCACCATTTGTCATACAGCAAAACCATAAAATTGTCTTCTTTGTCACCTGCTGAAACCTCCTCAACTTCCTGTGTTTGTTAAAATCACCTTTACTCATTTTGAAGTCTAGTTGAATTGGCATAAGAAATATTTTAGACTGTGATGTAATTTGTTGGATTAATTAATAGGAAAATAACTTGTATTTGCTTTTATTTACCTATATATTAATTAACTGAAAAATGAGATCATGCCTTAAGCTATTAGAATGCAACCAAACATTGAATCCCTCAGACTTAAGGGAACACATCCATTTGATCACACAATTTATAGGGACAGAGACTGAAGCAGTGGAAATAGTATGCTAAATCTTAAAAGGTGTGTTTTAAAATTAGGGAAGATGTTTTCATTGAAGCTTTTAATTTAATGCATCAATTAAATACTAAATGCCATGTGTATATATATACTATTGACACACACAAAGCAAACAAACAAACAAAAACTCTTGTCAAGCACAGGTGTAAGGGAGAGCACAGTGATGACTGAAACATAATCGCTGCATTGAAGAACGTCAGTTTGGCTTATAAAACCAACAAATAAAATCCTTTTTATAGTTGAGGGGATTGAAGTAAATGAGCTTCAATGACTTGTTAAAGATCATACAAAAGGTTAATAGCAAAGTCCAGACTGCCTCACTCCTAGACCCATGCCTTCTGACAAAGTCAGGCTTCTGACTTCAGGGAGAACAGAAAAGAGTATTTTCAAGTGAAGAAAAGGTACACCTTTTTGACTTCCATTAACTAATTAATACTTCATTTTGCCTTGAGACTGTTTAGAGAACACAGAAGTATCTTCAAGAACAACCATTTTTGAAATCTTAGCCAAAAAAAAAAATGAGTTCCCAAGGCAGATTGATTGAATCATGACTTAAGTAAAACAATTATTTCCATCCAGTCTGTTCTCTCCCTATATCAGATTAGACTAGCTACATTTAACAGAAAATCTAAAATTTCATTGCGTAAACCCAGAAAGGTTTAGTCACTCAAGTGGACAGGTCCAGAGGCAGGAAGACCAGGGCAGGTTTGGAGGCTCCACAAAGTCACAAGTGATTTAGGCTCCTTCTATCTTGATGCTCCACCATTCTCAACAAATGGCTCATGGTTTCCAATCTGAAGCATCATAATATGGCTGCTTGAGCACCAGCCATCACGTCTGTGTTCTAGAAGTCATGAAATTCAATTGAGGGATGCAAAAAACAAAATAAAACAAAACAAAAAAAACGTAAAAACATCTTCCAGCTGAATCAGCTCCTTTAAAACACCTACTCAGAAATTTCATACACAGCAATTCACTTGCTTCTCGTTGACCACAATCTAGGACACGTCACACTTAGTTCAAGGGATTGGGAAATACTGTGAGGCCCATAGCCATTCTGAATGAAATCAAGGTCCATCTTTAAGAAATAGTTAGGTTAGGGGATAGTTGGTAAACAACCAGAAGTCTCTGTCACAACTGTCACAAAATATCAAGGGACATGTGTTTGTCAGTGGCAAGTGTCCCCTTGATATTTAACTTCAAGTGTATTTAATATTAAACTATCAATACGAAATTCATATTTAATTTTAATAATTTGTTATCTATTTAATATTAATGACACATAAATATTAGATTAAAATATTAAGATTAAAATAACTCTGAAAATTTGCCTTCATTTCCTTCTGCCTGATTTCCCAGTCTGAAATGAAAAGAAATAATCGTGACAGAATATGGTTACTCAGTAAAACACAACTGGTTCTGACAGCTTCCTAGCCACACCTATGATATTCAAAGTCAGCTACACCCAGAAAAATAAAAGCTTAAAAACGTACATGGTGATGAACTGGCTCAGTAAGAAAAGAATACGTCAAGTCATCTATTTGCCAAAATGATCTCAGGATACTGCGAGTGCGTTGCTTAAACTATCCAGGTTATTCAGGTTGGTTTTTAAACATAATTTAGTAAATTTGTTGGATAGATCCTGACCAAAAATAATGTCAAAATGTGATTTTTTTTTTCCTCAATTATGGGTTGGCAAAATATATTCACTAAGTAAAGTGGCAGTGAGTATGCCAGGTACCTAAATTTGGTTACCCTGTGTGCCACTGTATACCCTCCAATATATGCAACCATAAGGTACAAAGTATACAGAGAGTCAGTTACAGTTATTCAGTACAGAAGAACACAGAGTAGGGTGGGAGATTCTGCTGTGTGGGTGGACAGAAGAGATGTGGCCTTGAATTGGGGTCACCAGGCGAGACGGGGCAAATTTCCTTACCACTTGGCAGCCGTAGACCTGCTGCCTGAGACTACCAGGGTACTCACTCCAATTGGCTAATTGTGTTGTTCATCTATTAGTTTTTGCAGGTTCTAACCAAGGGATCATCTATACAGCGCTTGTCAAATTTCATGTACAAAGGGATCTCCTGGGGCAGCTTGTTGAAATGCAGATTCTGATTCACTAGATCTGGGGTGGGGCCTGAATCCACTTTCTTCACCTGCTGTCAGGTGTTATGAACAGCACTGAGTAGCAAAGACCTAGTACAGAGGTGAGCTTGTACACTAGGAACACCTGCAAGGCCTCCCCCACAGAGTTTTTTATTCAGTGGATCTGAGAAGAGACCCAAGAATTAGCCTTTCTGGCACATTCCCAGGTGATGCTGATGCTTCTGGTCCAGGAATCACACTTCAAGAACCACTGATTTAGAATTTCATTATGGATCTCAAAGAGGTGAGAAATATGGTGGATGTAGAATAGTAACCTAGCTCTCTTACAGAACGCCTACTATGGACGAAAGGTCTTTGTGAAGTTGGATTTTAAATTTTATGTAAATGAACCATATAAATGTCATCCACTCTTAATTCCTAAGCTTTCTACATATTTTAAGAGAGACAAAGTCAAAATAAGAAAATTCTTTCATTTCCACCTTGGATTAGAGGGTTCCTTTTAGATTTTCTTGAACTATACCTGGCAGAAAATAATTCTATGTGAATTTTTGGTATGAATTCTAGGTAAAACTTCAGGTATCTCAAAGGAAGCCTTGAAATTTCCTTTTAATAATAATTCCATGTTATAGCATTTAATGGTCCCTAAACATGGACAAATAAAAACACTCCACAATTACAGGTATTCATTGTTGCACTCTGACAACTAAATTTTTAAAAATTTGAAATCTTATGTATACTCAGACCAAATATGGAGGAAGGTCATACTTATTTTTAATTGTTTTTTTCTCTAAAGTTAGTAAATAAACAACGTCTAACTCCATAGATTGATTTTATAAAGGGCATTTTATTCCTATCAATCAAAATACTTTTAAGTAAAGATTTTAAAATAATTTGATCTATCCACATGAAATGCATATTATAAATATACTTTGCACATACCATTTCTTACACAATTATTCTATCTATATATTTGAAAGTGGTTATTATTTTATTGGTAGTGGCAAGGATTTGAGATCAAGTGTGGTTTTTATTTTTTTGTGATACGTGGGCCTCTCACTGTTGTGGCCTCTCCCGTTGCGGAGCACAGGCTGCAGACGGGCAGGCTCAGTGGCCATGGCTCACGGGCCCAGCCGCTCCGCGGCATGTGGGATCCTCCCGGACCGGGGCACGAACCCGTGTCCCCTGCATCGGCAGGCGGACTCTCAACCGCTGCGCCACCAGGGAAGCCCCACGCAAGATTTTTAAAAGGACACATTTATCAAAGGCTATAAATGTCATTGATGTAAAGAACTGCCATATGTTTTTAAAAATATTAGATAACATTTCAGCTAACACATTCTAGATAATTATACTTACATGACAACAATGCAGAACCCAACACCATGGCAAGAATAGCCCATCTTCCAAGTATTGCATTTGATTGCCTTGCATCTCTCAGAACTTTAGTAGTCATTCTACATTCAGATGGAATTGTACAGTCACATACTCTCACTGATAACATGTGTTCTGCAGAAACGCCATGTCTATCTTTTATTTGGAGAGGCACAGAATAATAGTTATAATCAAGATTTTGCAGTTCACGAAGAATGGCAGTTTTACCTATGTGAAAAAAAGACAGATTTTGATTTCTTGAAAAGCCAGGAAAATTAACTGACATTGCTCTATGCTTACCTATATTATTCTATATTTAATATATTATTCAAATATTATATTAAAATGGATTTGTATGTTTTCTTAAAGGTATTCAGAACAAGAGTCTAAACGTAAGTATATTATTCATTGCTTTAAAAAACAAGGTATTATCCTTTTTCTGGGATCAATAAAATAATTTACTAAAATTAATATTTATTTATTATAATGAACTAAGGTGAAAATCTGGACCACCATCTTAAGTTCCTATTGATTAGAAGGTTTAACATAACTACATACCATCCGTTAATGTCTCTACTGTCCAAAGTTTGCTGGCACAATTATCGAGAATGAATTGAAAAGGTGACCCATTATCAGGTCCATCTTGATCTACAGGTTTGAGAACAGCAAAATCCTTATCATGCCAACAAATTGTCACTTCTTTTCCAATTTGTGGTGAGTGATCAATTATCATCTTCCAAAAGAACTACTAATGTTCCAGTGCAAGATCTGTTATATAAGAAAAACAAAAAATAGGATATTTCTTCACTTAAAGTCTATTTTCAACAATCTCTATGATGTACAGTTGACATCTGCTTTCTACTAGTTGTCTGAACTGGAATTTCATACACTTTCCGAACCACAAATAGCATTGCTACCAGTACAAAATAGTGACATTACTCTTCCTTGGAGATTGGTAGCTGTATCAGATGGTATCTTGAGGTGCTTTTTAAAACTAAAAGGTATGAGATTATAAGTAATGTCACTAAGGAATAACCAGTTAAGAAGAAAATTGATTTCTTACATCTTTCTTTAGGAAGAACATACATTCATGCTTCAAATACAAACACTTTACATTTGGTCATAGTCACTTTCTTGACTTCCTCTCCTGAGCTTTTTCTTCATCTACTCTTTGTTCAAACTTTGTAAAACTGATCATCAAACTCAGTAGGTGTGCTCCTTCCTGTGTGCAGCTTTGGCACATTCTATTGCCACTGCTGGGAATACGTTTCTTTTCTCTGCCTGACAAAACCTTATTATCCTTTAAGAATCCATTCAAATATCACCTCCGCATGAAACCTGCTGTGACTTCTACAGACAATGGTAGCCACGTTCTCCTTCAATTTCTCAGAACCCTTGGTTCATCTTTGGCTCACGCACTGAACTGTGAACATGCTCATCCTAAGGGCTAAGTTGTATTCATCTTGAGTGCCTAGTGATCTGGACACAGTATTTCTTGGCTAACTTAAAACTTAATACTAACACATTGAATATAATGCACTTACTATTTTTAGACTTTGTAAAAAAATTAATTGAATAAACTGTAAAAAAGTTGCACCCCCCCCCCCCCATTTAATCAATTTGCTTTTAAGAATAAGAACTGTTGGGCTTCCCTGGTGGCACAGTGGTTAAGAATCCGGCTGCCAATTCAGGGGACACGGATTCGAGCCCTGGTCTGGGAAGACCTCACAAGTCGCAGAGCAACTAAGCCCATGTGCCACAACTACTGAGCCTGAGCTCTAGAGCCCATGAGCCACAACTACTGAGTCCATGAGCCACAACTACTGAAGCCCACGCGCCTAGAGCCCATGGTCTGCAACAAGAGAAGCCACTGCAATAAGAAGCCCACGCACGGCAACGAAGAGTAGCCCCAGCTCGCCACAACTAGAGAAAGCCCGTGCACAGCAGCAAAGAGCCAACACAGCCAAAAATAAACAAATAAAATAAATTTATTTAAAAAAAGAGAATAAGAACTGTTACTCATCTCCAGCTCTCCACTATTATTGGCCTAATGTTTTGCACATAAGTCTAAATAAATATTTTTAATTAACATAACGCCCATTACTGGTGTTTAAGAGATAATGAAGTTTAAAGAACATATTCAAATTTTATAATTTGTAATAAAATTACAAACTGCTATAAATGGTAAGCTTTCAAAATTGAAATAAACAGAAAAATAACTGATGAAATTTCTCACTTTTTTTGCTTTGAATGCTAGTCTAAATTTTGGTGCATAAATATTGAATTTATCATAAAGACTACCATAAATCATGTGTAAATGTAATCTGTTTTTTCTTTTTAGGTTGAAATAACAATTAAGGCATATTGGATAGTGTACTTCAGTGAAACTTTTTCTGCTGAATAACTAAAAAATTAATTTATTCAAAGTGACTTTTAAATTAATCACTTACATAAGGTAACTGCAGTATATACCTATTTTATCTGAACAAGTTTTACAATATCTAGAAATTAAAGAGAGATACAGCGGGCTTCCCTGGTGGTGCAGTGATTAAGAATCCGCCTGCCAATTCAAGGGACACAGGTTCAAGCCCTGGTCTGGGAAGATCTTACATGCCGTGGAACGACTAAGCCTGGGTGCCACAACTACTGAGCCCACGTGTCACAACTACTGAAGCTCGCATGCCTGGAGCCCGTGCTCTGCAGCAAGAGAAGCCACTGCAATGGTAGCCCCCACTTGCCACAACTAGAGAAAGCCCTCACACAGCAACGAAGACCTAACGCAGCCAAAAATAAATAAATTTATTAAAAAATGAGATACAACTTTTATTAAAAAAAATCTGCAATAGCATATAAACATTTGGGACTGTCATAAGTTTGTAAATAAATTTGAATACAAGTAACAACTTCAAACCCTAACAAAGAAGTGAATAATGGGAAAAAAGAAGCTTTTATTTTTTTAATTAAAAAAAAATAGTTACAGATACTACCTGTGAGTCAACATGTGTACTCTGATTTTACTTTTTAAAATTTAAGCAGAGAACTATTTCTCTTTAAGGAACAATAGAAATCACACTTTAAAAAAATCTAATAAAGAAATAGGAGGACTTCCCTGGAGGTCCAGTGGTTAATAAGAGTCCGTGCTTCCAATGCAGGGGACGCGGGTTTGATCCCTGGTTGGGGAACTAAGATTCTGCATGCCGCAGTGCAGAAAAAAAAAAAAAAAAAAAAAAAAATCAACCAACATTCATCACATCAATGATTATTTTCCATCACAGTCTGTTTTAAGCATGTTGTTAAAAAGAGGAAAACTTGAAATTGTTATAATGGATAGTAGTCAAAGCCACAGCTGAAAACAAAGTCCTAGATGCCTTCTAAAACCATAAAAGACTGATTGCAAATTTTTTCCTTACTTCTGGGAAATAGAGCAAAAAATAAGTAGTTACTGATAATAGTTGAAGATTGTGAAAAGGTAATTGAGTGTGTATGTTTGTCTACTTCTAAATCTTATTTTAAATTAAGCACATAAGAAAATGCCAAGTATCGGTGAGTAAGGAATGTCATAATCTTGGAGCTAGAAAGTACATCTTGGGTTAACTAAAATCTAAACTTACATGTCAACAATAGGGACTCTGAAATGCAAGCGTTCCCCATTATTTAAGTTTCCAGGAACCAGAAGTTCACTGTTATGAATCAGCCCACTCCATGTACAGAACTCTTTAATTAACCACTAGAAAGTTTTCAGGTTCTTTCTTATCAAGCTATAATACACCTCCTAATCATTTCCAATTTTTTCATGGTGATTTTGGACTATATACAAAATGTTTACCTCTTCCACATGACAACCCTGAAATATTTATTTTAAGAAAATTCTTCTTACAGCCGAATATAACAAAGCATTTGTAAACTTTTGAAGTCAAGTTTCTATAATACATTAAAACTAATTGTTCCAGGTGCCTATTATGCACCTGAACTTGCAAAGCTTTTGGTAGTGAAATTCACAACATGGACCTGGAGATTCACAGGGCTCTCAAACAACAGAGGAATGACAAATATCAGTACGTACACGAAGCAAACATGCCAAGATCTCTGCCAGATGCTTGGTAGAAAAGATATTTAGCAATGATAAGGGTCCTTGTATGAAAATGAGTTCAGAGTCTAGCTAGAGGAAAAGAATGTACATGAGAAACAATGAGAGCACCCTTTTATAGAGAAGACACATCACCTGTGATAATTACGATATTATTCCCAGGGAAGGAGGGCGTAAAAGGTGTTCATAGAAGAACTGAACAGGGACTTCCCTGGTGGTGCAGTGGTTAAGAGTCCGCCTGCCAGTGCAGGGGACATGGGTTCGAGCCCTGGTCTGGGAGGATCCCACATGGGGCGGAGCAGCTAAGCCCGTGTGCCACAACTACTGAGCCTGCATGCTGCAACTATTGAAGCCCGCACACCTAGAGCCCGTGCTCCGCAACAAAAGAAGCCACCGCAATGAGAAGCTCGTGCACCACAGCAAAGAGTAGCTCCCACTCGCTGCCAACTAGAGAACGCCCGCGTGAAAGCTGAACAAAGACTAGTGAGAGCTACCACAGAAGATGTCACTGCCATTCATTTGAAGAAGCAAAGGGACCTGAATTTCAAACAGGAGGGGCAGTCGAATTCTAGGTGGAGGGTGTATGAAACGGTGCTTTCTAGAGTGAAAGCAGGGAAACCAGCCTGACTGACAAAAAAATTGACACAAAAAATACAAGGAAATAAACTGGATTCTAAGAAAGCTGGAATACCTAGATCATCATCATAAAATATTTATGAGCATCAAAACTAAACATTCATTTGGAAATATAAGTACTTACTTATATATTTGGCCTTTGGAAGCATATATTAAATGGATTAAAGTTCAAATAAACAAAATCCTTTATGACACCATACGGTCTTCCATTAACATTTATAGCACCCTTATCTTTACTTCTTGAGCACATCCAGGTTATCCATGGGCCTGAGACATAGACTCACAAAGTTTAGATTTGACATTTCATTTCTTTGTGCTATGATCACTGTATCTAAAGACATTCTTTTGTCTCCAAAAGACCAAGTTAATTTCTTATATCTCTGTTTTCCATATTTTCCTTCTCTCCAAAAAGTACTTCATTTTTTATCACCAAGCTTCTGCATTTCTGTGAAGTTTCCTCCCTTTACCCTTTAATCTGGGTGGGCAACTCTTTAACTGATTTCCACTTCTCATGATATGTATACATTCTTTGATGGGGAAAATTTTCATACCAGGGAATCTGTTATGAGAACATAATAATCCCTCAACTGATATTGTGTGAAAATTTGACCTTGTCTTATGAATCCTAATTTTCATGGCCTAGTACTTGAAACTTAAAAGACAATCAACATTTGTGGAATAAGTGAGTAAATATAAATCCTTGTTTGACATCATAATTGTGTTCCTGAACCATTCAGATTTCACTTTTGCTTATACAGAAGCAGCAAATCACCAGGATTATAAAGGAGTGGCAATGTTAACTATATTTCTCAGTTAATGTTTTTCCCATTCTTTAGTAGATTTTTTTCGTACTTATACTGAAAGAATTACATTAAAAGATTGTGTGAGAGGTATCAAGAGGAAAGGAAGATCATATGCACACGATTAAGTAATAATATCCAAATTGAGGTTTTCTTTCAGGTTTTGAAACCTAAAAATTTTTGGCTTATGGGCATAGTTCTTTCAAACTGCTTGGTCATCTCACTAATTATGATGTGCAACAGACCATTTCCATCCCAGGGTAACAGGAATAGACCAAGGCTGAGAGAGGAAGTAAGGAAAAAACCTGAATGGGACACATGTAGATGAACTGGCTTGCCCTTCCTCTATAAATCATAAGCAGCAGTATCTTCATTAGTTTAACCTTTGTCTCTCATCAGAGAATCTATTTTTTTCATAGATGTGGCTTTTAGTGTAAAGCTATAGAAAAAAGTATGGGTATAATATATGAGAAAACATCTGTCTTTATCTTATTATCAAAATATCAAGGGGCAAAATGAATAAACATGAAACATTTCATGACTTACTTGCAACTTTTGTTTATTTCCGTGAGATTTGATATGTTTGTTCATACACTCGCCCATTCCTTCTAAAGAAATTCAGTGATTCTATAGAAAAAGACCACAACATTGCCGTTCCAACTTGTTTGTTTTGAACATCTAGTGTATAAAAACATGCTAACCATAAAAATAATGGAAACCATCTCGGATTAAGCAGATAGTCAAAAACATAGGCTCTGTCATAAAAGCCCAAGTTCATTCACCTTTATCATCAATGGAAATTTACCCCAAATGAGTGAGTGTGTAATTGGTGTAGTGGAATGCCATATTGTAACTTCTATTTATATTTTTTATCATCTTCTTTTAATATCTATTTTTATGATATATACATTAGCATAGTAGTATATGTGTATAAATAAACACGCTAGTAAATATATGGGAGTGGTTATGGACTGGTCTCAGCCTATCAATAACGAAGGTTGTAGCTGAACTGGCCCTTATGGTTCCTCTTATGATTGCAAGATGCCCTAAGTAATAATGATCAGGAAACACTGAAAAAAAAAAAGGTTTATTACTTACAAGTCCTGGAAATTACATGGCACACTTGGGGCCACAGAGCAATTGTAAATTTGTGGGGAATGGACGGGGTGGGGCAAGGGGAGTGACACCTGGGATTCTTCTTTTATTGAGGTGGAGGCTGGGGCCTTGGGTTTCCCAGGCTCACTCTTAATTTAAAACACAAGAGCAGGAATTTAAAGCACAGGAAGAGATAAAACCAGCAGCCCAAATGGTGAGTTACTGAAATCAACCAAGATCTCTAAAACGAATGAGCCTGGGGAGATGGGGTAGGGGTCAGCCTGGCTCTTGATCTAGTTCTGTGGTTAGCAATGTGTTTATTTGAGATTTCAATCAAAGCTTAAGTCAGGCACTTGCATTACAAAAAGAGAAGCCAACTGACAGGGCTTACACTGCAAAGGTTCATATTCAAAAATGATTTACTGCTTGGAGGATATATTCAAAAGAGTTTTGAGATCTCTACATTAGGACATTTGAAGGACATTTCTTCACAAAACAGGTTCTAGAATTAACCTTGGAGAATGATTGCAAACCTCAGCAAAAGACATTAAAAATCATTGTTTGACCATTTATTTAGGAAATAGGATAAATGTTTTATTCCCCAGTAAGAGAGACTGAGAACAAATCTATCTGAACCCAACTGTTGAAGGTGGGCTGAATCCCTCCAGCAAGTTCAAATCAGAATAATCTAAATCTGTACTCCTGAGAAAAATAGGGATCCTTGATGATGCCACTATGTCCATGGAAGAAGTCAAATAATACGGACCTCGAAACTGGGACTTGGGCCATTCACCACCTCCTAGTTTTGCATTAGTGATGCACTGGGACCTAAATTGGGTGTTTTCCAAGCAATTACTCAATCATAATGCAAACATTTTTGCATTAAATTTTGATCCGGAAACAAACAAATTTAAATTTAGCTCCAAGATTTCCTAAAATATGTCCTATATTTATATTTTATTTCTAGAAAATTGCACTCACCTACATCCATTGCAATCACGGAAACATTGTATTGGTTGTCTTTTACAAATGTTGATTTTCTGTCTAGAACTTTGACAGTTTTCAAGTCACCAGTGTATTCATTAACTTCAAACCAGTTATCTTCATCTCTGTTTGTTTTATTTTTACATCTTTATTGGGGTATAATTGCTTTACAATGGTGTGTTAGTTTCTGCTTTATAACAAAGTGAATCCATTATACATATACATATGTTCCCATATCTCTTCCCTCTTGCATCTTCCTCCCTCCCACCCTCCCTATCCCACCTCTCCAGGTGGTCACAAAGCACCCAGCTGCTCTCCCTGTGCTATGCGGCTGCTTCCCACTAGCTATCTACCTTACGTTTGGTAGTGTATATATGTCCATGCCTCTCTCTCGCTTTGTCACAGCTCACTCTACCCCCTCCCCGTATCCTCAAGTCCATTCTCTAGTAGGTCTGTGTCTTTATTCCTGTCTTACCCCTAGGTTCTTCATGACATTTTTCTTTTTCTTAAATTCCATATATATGTGTTAGCATACGCTATTTGTCTTTCTCTTTCTGACTTACTTCATTCTGTATGACAGACTGTAGGTCTATCCACCTCATTACAAATAGCTCAATTTCGTTTCTTTTTATGGCTTACCTTCTTATACCTAGTTTTTAGAAATCAAATGTAAATACTCAAACCAAAGAGTGGACATAATCTCAAAATCTGTCATCCTAATAATACATAGAATGTTCCCAAATTTGAAATCAATTATCATCACAATTAAAAAGAAGGAAATTTTGAAAATACATTACCTTAAGCCCTCAGCAGTGCTACTGTCCGGATCCACTGCTTCGTATCCAAGGAGTGTTGTGCCCACGGGAGGCCATCTTTACTCTTAATAACTTTTACTGGTGGTTGGCATTCGGGGCCCTCATCATGGTCTTTAACTTTAACAGTGACAGTTGTAATGCACATAGTAGGAGTTTGTGAGTTTGCTGCTTTAGAGAATTGTGCTTCGTTAAGTACACCAATTTGCAAAACCATTTGGCGATGTATTTCATAGTTCAATGACTGTTCGATAAACATACCAAAATGAGTCTTTCTCTCTCTCTCTATATATACATATATATAGAAGACATAACTATGATTCCAAGTTTTAGCACGAAAGGGAAAATCATTTTTATGTATAAAATGTTACCAAAAGTTTTTGCTAATGTATTAACGACGAATAATTAGCTTCCTATAGTGACAAACACTATCAAATGCAAAATTGTTGATTTTTAAGATTCAACAAATTTTTCTTCTCGCTTTCCTTTGGAAAGGTCCTGCTTTCAATTTTTTTTTATTATTACAAGTTTAAATACTAATTAGAAATACAGAATAAGTGTTTAAATAAATTCAAATGGACTATTTCTCATTATTTTATTATTATCAAATGGGATAACAGTGATAACTAAATTAGCAAAAGTCCCTCTAAGCTAAGTATATAAAATAATTAGATACACTGTAACAAAGCAGGACCCTATGGGGCCTTCCCAGGGCAGACTTCTCCCCCATATACTCTGCTTTAGCTCCTTTCTGTAGTACCTAGATAATAGTATCTGATGCACACTTCCTGAGTTGTTTTAAAGATGTGAAAAGCCCCCACCAAATGGAAAATGTTAACTACTTGATGACCATGAGCTCATAGCCCACAGGCCTAAGGACTGATAATGTTAACCCCTATGACACCACCCTGTTACCTCACCATCAACCAATCAGAGAATTGTGCAGGAGCTGATCACATACTCTGGGATGCCCCTCCCTCACCTTGCCTTTACAAATGGTTTGCTAAAATCCTTAGGGGAGTTTGGAGTTTTTGAGCACAAGCCACCTGTTCTCCTTGTATTGGCACCTTTACAATAAAGCTGCACTTTCCTTCACTACAACCTGGTGTCAGTAGATTGGCTTTACTGCCAGCGGGCAAGCGGGCCTGAGCTTGGTTCGGTGATAAGACTACTAGGACATGAGATCTGGCTATAATGGAGCAGTTACTCTGAGTATCTGAGTCAAAAGATATAATTATATTATCTAGCAGCACCTTTTCAAAGTATATTATATACGGATTTGTTAGTTCATGAACTGAGTAACTAGAAAGAATCCCCAAACAATAAATGATTAGAGACTAAAATCTATCAAAATAACAAAAAAAGAAAGAAAGAAATCTAGAAAAAAGTCCAAAAATATTTTTTAAAGAAATTTAAAAAGAGAAAGGAAAAATAAGCAATATTATAATTAAAGGACAGTTTCTAAAAATTTTATAAGGAAAGCAAAATTTATGCATATCACTTCTAAGAAAATACTTACTGTAACTTCTTTGGGAGTTCATGATCAGTTTACACATAGTTTAGTGACTGAGAAATTAATTAAGCAATTCATTACTTCTCTATCCAGTAAACGTGTAGTTGTGGTGATGATGTCTGGATGTACGGAGAAATGCTTTGGATTGTCTGGAATTTGCTGTAAGATTTTATATTTCAGACAAGTATGTAGAGTATCAGGTTCATCGAGGTCTATGGCAGTCACTTTTCCCACTGAAGTTCCTGTTAAATAAATCCAATACTGTCAACAACTTAAAATAGCGATATAATTGAATTACAAACAAAAATAAAATCAAGGCATTGCTGTGGCATATTCTCCCAAAAAACCCACAAGTTGACTGATTTTACAGATAAGTGGAGAAGTATCTAAATGCTCTCCCACAACTCCAAGTTCTCCTAACCTGGAAACTTCAATTAGGTGGCTACTGTGGATAACATAATTTGTGTTCTGCATATGTGAGAACATCCACCCCACCGATGGTAGCAGAGGTTCTCAAATTCTTCCTCTCAATCCAGTTCATGGGCCATATTTTGATGGGACCTTCTCTGTATATCTTGTTTCTTTAATACCCCACTTGATAGTGTTAAAGGAAAAGCACAGCTTTGCATATGATAACAAAGGTTTTATGCTTTTATATTTTAATAAATGTGCTGAATTGTTAATACATACAAGACAAACATTATGCAACAGTCTGAATATCATTTGGACAAGCTTTATGGCTCAGAAATCAGATTATTGGCAATGTTACTTTAGCAAACCATTTACTGTGGGAAAATAATATTAAATATGCACACAAAATAATATTAAATATGCACATAGAAACTAAGAACATATCTTGCGATTTTTGAGAATGAACTAGACTTGCTATGCCCTTTGGTTTGATGAGGCCACAATCTTGGCTGGTGAGAGCATCAAACCAGTTTTAAATTTTTTCAGTTTGTTTGGGAAATAAGCTAAGTAAAGAAATGCAGGACTTCCCTGGTGGCGCAGTGGTTGGGAGTCCGCCTACTGATGCAGGGGACGCGGGTTCGTGCCCCGGTCCAAGAAGATCCTACATGCCTTGGAGCGGCTGGGCCCGTGAGCCATGGCCGCTGAGCCTGCGCGTCCGGAGCCTGTGCTCCGCAGCGGGAGAGGCCACAGCAGTAAGAGGCCCGTGTACCGCAAAAAAAAAAAAAAAAGAAATGCTTACGTTGTTATAAGCCAGATCAGTATTTCCATACCATAATCTATTTCTGGGTCCTTGAAAATGTATTGCGACTTTATAAAGATTCAAATGCTCTACTGCTTTATAAATACATCTGGGACACATATGTACATGATCAAAATAGAAAATATAAACAGCCTTTGTCTGTCATTGTGGATTAATCTAACAAAGCTAGTAACTTTGTGTATCAGCTGCTTTCTACATGTGCCTAGAAAATGAGCACAAAAAGGTTTGCCTTTGAAGAGCCTATGATCTTATAAGGCTACAAAGTTTTATGTAGAATATCCATGAAAGTCAAGCATTTAAAAATGTTTTGCATAACTGTGCCTAAAACATTAATGAATTCAACTGAAGCAAAATTCTCATGTTTTTCCTAAGATGTGAACTTACCGGTTTGGCAATTCTCAGGCACATTAAAGACAGTCACTTTGTCTTCAAAATATGAGGCATTATCGTTATCATCTTCAACTTTGAATAGTAAGGGGAGTGTGTACTCAGGTGCATAACCGTCCACAGTAGTTGCATAGGCGTAGATCTGAAAGGTAGACAAACACCATCAGCTAATTCTTGAATAACAAATTAGGCACAAAATTAAACCTAGCGGTTGGGGAAATATGTAATATTTTAAAAAATCATTGGCAAAAGCCTATGTAACTAAGAACTTATGCAACAGAGAGACAACACAGCAGCACAGACTATGCCTGCCCTATGGCTTCAATCCTTTCTCATTATTCTCTCACCAAGTACCATGCAGTCCAGCTGAAGGAGGCTACTCTGTTCCCTGAATTAACTGCATGCAATTCTCCTTGTTAGGATGCATGTAGACTTCCCCTAGTGATGCTAATAACAAGTATTTTTTTCTAAAGTTTATACAAAATATGATTCCAGTTATTGTTAGATTTATATACACATATAAATATCAACTATTTCTGGGTGACTCGATTGTGTTCTTTTCTCTACCTGTATTTTCTCATTTTTCTATCAGTAACATGTATTTCTTGTGTAGTAAAAATGCTAATAAAATCATATATATATATATATATATATATATATATTCCAAACTCTATCTCAAAATGATATATCTTGGTCCCAAATGTGAGGATTTAATGCCCTTTTTCTTTAAATACCATCAAAATATTTCTGAAGTTTTCTGGTAAATGGTTGAGTTAAACAGATTTTCTTCACTGACAGGAACAACTAAACCTGCCCAAAGTGAAGTCTGTGTTAACTCAGTTCTTCACCACAACTAGCCTTCCTGATTTCCCTACCTTAACCATTTTCTAAAATGAACCAGGATTAAAGTCTCAGGTATCTAACTCCTCCCCCTCTTTAGCCTTATATTAGTCAGTTGCCAGGTTCTAGAGATTACAGCATTTCTGTGTCTCTGTCATTCACTTCTCTTTTCTATTCTCAATGCCATTATCCTCATGTGACTCCAAATGTATCCTATCAACTTTCATATTGTATCCTACACACATGTCCTACCAACTTTCCTACAGTTGTCCTAACTGACCTTCTCCAAACTATGTAGCCCTCAGGGGTCAGATTCATTTCCACAAAGCACAATTTTAATCATGATATTAGCTAATCAGACTTTTCAGTGATCTTCCTATCACCTACCAGAGTAACACAAAATCCTCACTGTTGTGTGGAAAGGAAACATTTCATCTTCACATGCTAACCTGGAGGGGAAGAAATTTCCACTCCAATCTCTAGGACAGAAGGTTTTGAAATAACCATTCATGTCCTCTCTGTTCCCTTTTTCACTTTTCCCCAAACAACCTCCAGCTGGGCTTTTTCAGTAATAAAACTTACACTTTGATTTCTGTCAGTCTGATCCCTGTATCTTAATAAATTCTGCACTCAGGGATACAGGAGTGTATTGTCACCACTTCACCACCACCACCATCACCACTACCACCACACTATTCAGCCTTCCTATCAATCTCTCCCTCTCCCCTCATATTTGATGTAATTTTTTCTTTCTTTAACTGCTGTCATTTTGAGAGTTTTGGCTAGAGAAAACTATGTAATTGTTTTATGTCCCTATTAGTTTCCAATTGTCCTCAGGGGTGAAGCCTGAGACTTCGGATGTTTGTGTGACTGAAGCACCTAACACAGTGCCTTACATTGGGTAATTCACCAATAAATAGCTTGTTGCATTCAATTCCATCCATCTTTTTTTTCTTAGGAAAAATAAACCACCCCTTAAGTTTGCCCTCTGTAAAAACTGTTGTAAATATTCTATGGGACCACTTGTAATGAATTCTTCTACTTCATCACGTTGGTATTAAAACATCTCCCTATCTAACCTAAGTCCATCCTGCTGTAATTTACACTAATTTTTGCTAGTTTTTCTCTTCAATGGAAATGATCATCTACTTCTCGCTGTATAATCACTTGTAGTTTAAAATAGGTCCTGATGCTCAACTACAAATAAATATCATTATTCCACGTTCCACTGATTTCCAGATGTAGTGATTTTGTTTCTGGTACTATTTCAGGTACTAGTTTGATTTTTTACTATTAATGTGCTGAGCATCTCCAAAATAAATAAAAATTCAAAAAATTATTGTAAAGATGATTTAAACTAGAAATGCAGCCAGACTTTAAACCACAGCCTGGATCCCTAGGAGAATCCACTAATATTCATATGATAAAGGAACTAATTATAAATATTTTCATAATTAGTCACTAAAGCAGCAGTTTCAGAAAGCTCAGTACAACTAATGGTTTTGCAGTCTAGTTCCCATTATTCTATATGAAAAGCAATAATAATATATTTAAATATTGTTACAATACCTATAAATAGAATACTATACTTTAGTAGAATTAGTCATATTTTTAGCTAAGTTAGAAGAGTATTATTTAAATTTCTTGTGTCTACTATTGTGATATTTCCCCCTTGAATTCTTCTGTAGCTTGAAGAACCTCATCTCTTTTAGCCCTTTTGCCCTGTAATTTGCCTTTATCTCTGTAATTGCTCTCATCTTTGAGAATGTGTAAACAGTTGTCAACAGAAGTTGGGGCTTGAATTTACCCTTGTAGAGAGGGGTATTGAGTGTAGACTGGGCAGAGGAAGGGAGAGAGCAGTGACACCAAAGCTGAGTGTGTACAGAATGTAACTAGCAACATGAATTTAAAGACAATGGATAGACTTGTGTGTCTGGAAAAGAAATCATATGTTACAAGATAGTAAGGCTCTGGCTGGATAGGTAAGAAGGGACCAGATTGAGCTGATTTTTCCCTATAAACTTATAAAAGGTACAGACTCTCCTCAAAATTCAAAGAGGAAGAGTGTTTGCAGCTGCTTTCTTTCATAAAATAACTTGGAATTATTGAAGAAAATTCACTTCTTATACAACTCTTCTTTAAAGAACTTGCAAAAGGGCCTTATATAAATTCCTAAAAGACTAGATGCATTGAATGGTTTAAAACAAATTCCTTCAACTGCAATAATGGTGTGACTCATCCAGAAAAATCTTTACCCGCCAAAATTAAACAATACAACATGGGGCAATAGAGCAAATGGGAGCACAGTAATGATATGTATTGAATTAGACCCTGTTCCCAATAATCAAGGAAATCTAATTATTTCGAACAACAATAATTTATTAACACTTAACGTTCAAATAGGTTAGATAAAAGCAAAGAATTGGAAAATCCCATCAAAAGCCCCAGTCTTGAGGACAAAATTCTGGAATATGTGCATTATTTGATCTCTGCCATTAGAATATTTTTAGAGAGCTTTACTGTTTATATGGTGATTTTGCCAGCATTATGGCATTTAATGATCACAACAGCTCTGAGGTAGATAAGACAACAATTAGCAGCCCATAACACAAAGAAGAAAACAGATTCTTGAAGTTGTGACTTGTCCAAGACTAAAAGCAAAAGTGGCAGATACCACTAATTTCCAGAGAAATAAGCTTTCCAGTAAAAAACAGTAAATGAAACTGATTTGATAGAAAAGCAAAGACATACTATTTTAATTTTAACCTCTACGTTGACAGAGAAGGCTTCTATTCCACATTGTCTCAAGAGATTTTACAACTTGCACCATGTTTACATCTGGTTGTTATACTTTATGAATTTTGTTGATTTGCAGTTGGTGTTTCTTATTAATGTCAATTCAATCTTAAGCATGTTAATGGAAACTATAGAAACACAAGTAATTCTGAAGGAAAATTACTCAAAAGGCCAACTTTGGGCAAAAATTCCAAACTATTTTATTCCTTTGTCCTTTAAAAGATGTCAAAAAATAGTGAAGTAACTTTTTTATTTTGTTTTATTTTATTTTATTTTATTTTAGGCCACACCATATGGCTCTTGGGATCTTAGTTCCCTGACCATATATATCCCCTCAGCAGCGAAAGTGCAGAGTCCTAACCACTGGACCGCCAGGGAATTCACAGTAACTTATCTAAATTATAAACTATTCTCTTTCCCTTCCCTCTTGCAATGATCTTAATAAGAAGCCAAAAGAGACAGCAGATTGACCAGTGAGAAGCAGCTAAAGACCTCAAAAATCCATAAACAGTATGTTATCAGCAGAATAAGAAATGAAGTGTACATCACAACGTACAGAGTAGGCAGCTTTTTATTTCTCCACAAGAATGACTGCTAGTGTTAGAGCTTTTCTTCCTATGAAGAAGCTATAAAAGCAGCAGAAACTTATATATTTACATGCGCGTGTATCTAAATATACATATTTATCAATTATTTATTTGGCTTTTTGATAAAAAGGTCAAAATGTTTAAAGTGAAGAAATATAGCATTGCTTGTCATTCTAGATACTATGATTTTCACATACATAGTAACGTGAAGAAAATAAGTAACGATTGTATATAACAATATCATGGATAATGCCCAAACAATTTCTGTTTTTCATAAGTTCTGTTTTTTATTAATAGGACACACACACACACACACACACACACACACACACACGGAGTAAGAACCAGTTTCACCTATTTCCTGATTTAATCACTTGTCACTTAACCAACCAGAACTTTATAGGGTTTTGGTGAAAGATGCTATCTTGAGAAATATTGACCTGCCTAAAAAGAGATAATCCACTAACAAATATTAAAGAATTGATTTTATTCCACTAGAAGTGGGACGATGAAAATTTGTTAAAATACTAGCTACTGTGCAAAGCACTTGTATACCTATATAAAGACACACAGGTCAGCGTGTGTTCCAGCATATTTTATTTTATGTGATATGGAGACTCTTTACAATTTGGACATAAAATAATATTTTGTAAGCCTTATTCTAAATGTATAACAAATGTAAAGTACATGTAATATGTAAGCATATTCTAAATTTGATGAAGACTTCTTGTAATCAAAACAAATTTAGCTGGGAAAGTCTCTTATAAGTCGAATCCCTTATTAATAAATCATCTCATAAGACCAGATTCATTGTGCAGAGTTTGCTTAAAGTGAGGTTTACGTGAATCCAGTAACCTTCTCCCTTCCCACTCTCTGGTTACCACCACCCACTGCAAGAAGACGAGCTTAGAGTCAGAACGTTCAAACTAATCCGGTGGACTGGCCCTACTGCATTCTCTGAAGAGAGGGACCTCATAGAATGCTCTATTAAGATGGGAATAAACTGTAGATGGTCTCATCTCCTCTTTAAAGAGAGACTCAAATCCATAGTTACTTGGGAGAAAGCCACTCAGGGTGGAGCACCACATCTCCAGCCAGAATCAATCTTCACTGACCCACCTTGCCTTGTTCTGCAGGTAGGTCGTTCTTATTGCCACACCTGAAAACATCTGATATTCTGACTTTGCTCCCTGGCTACTGCGTTGTTCATTTTTACACCAGTTGTAAATAGCCCTATTATTCCTTAAAACCGTCTAGTCTTTATGTATGTTAATTATAAGTGGAATAGACAAACAAGTGAGCATTCAAGAGCAATAATTTTAGCACAGAAGGAAATAGGTGAGATGAAGGGCCCTTGTGAGATTATTGCGCTTAAGTCTTGCCTAATATACTTCCTTCCTCCTGCTTCCAGTACAATTTCTATCTCCTTCTGTTCCTGTCTCTGAGTGTCTGAAAGCAAAATGGAAAAACTCTTCTTTTCAGAAGACAAAATGAGGTTATGTGTTGCGTAAGTGGAGCCATCTTCTAGAATTCTGAAGTCAGGATCACTTGACTGAATTAGGCTGGCCGACTGGAAACACTCCTTCAGATTCACTGCAGGGAAGAAATTTCACTGTAATTTGTAAAGTGAAACAAGAATAGAACAAGTTTTACAGGAATGACAACCTCCAGTTAGTGCATGAGAAGCAAAAAGGTGGAGGTTACGCTTGGAATGTGTGGAATAATTACTATTCTAAAACTTAGAGGCCATAAAAATTAAGTAATTAAATTGATGGAGTCACCGTTTCCACTGCCTTCATCATTTAAATATTTTTAATGTCACTGGATTTATTGTTTCCACTTTAACTCGTGTATATGTACAAATGTGTTGTTTTCTATTATATGTGGTAAACTGTATGATGTCAGATTTTGAACTTGTTTGCAATAATCTGTGATAGTTAAAACTATCTTGCAAAAAATAAGAAAACTGGTCTATACTTAAGTAATATTTCTCAGTAATACTGCAAGTACTAATTCCATAAAACCTTTTGGAGGCTTAATAAACCCCAAGCTTAATAATGCTTAGTGGTTGTATCAAAATATTTCCTTTACTGATTCATATTTAATATATTTACTATATTTACTATGTGTCTTTAGAGTATAGACTGTGTACCATTTAAGTGCTTTTAAAAGATATAAGGAGGGGCTTCCCTGGTGGTGCAGTGGTTGAGAGTCTGTCTGCCAATGCAGGGGACACGGGTTTGAGCCCTGGTCTGGGAGGATCCCACATGCCCAGTTGACATGCCCACATGTCAACTGGGCCCGTGAGCCACAACTACTGAGCCCGCGCATCTGGAACCTGTGGTCTGCAACGAGAGGCTGCGACGGTGAGAGGCCTGCACACCACGATGAAGAGTGGCGCCCGCTCGCCACAACTGGAGAAAGCCCTCACACAGAAACGAAGACCCAACACAGCCAAAAATAATAATTAAAAAAAAAAAAAGATATAAGGGATTAATTCAAAACCTCAAAGCACTGGGCAAAGTATATAGAAGTATACCACTTCTGTATACAAGGTGTGTTTTTCTCGATGTAAACTTAAGGCTAATGAAAAACACTGATGAAAGGAATGTTACCCCTGGACTCAGAACAACCAACCCATGCCTCAGGTACGGCTGTGATAGTAAGACTACTTAAATTTTTATTTGACTTTCTGAAGCTATTCTGTGAAATAGATCACATAAATTCTTGATGGGTACTTGGTCGTTGTAATCAAACTCAAGCATAAATTTTATTTTGGGACATTTCAATTTTGACACATCTGTTTTATGTGTAATCAAGTAAAGAATGTTGGAAGCAGATCAGTCATAGGAAACTAAAACATGTTTCTGGTTTTGGTGCCTCTCTTTTTTTGTACTAAACTAAGATAATTTAGTCCTCTGATGTTTGCTAATTTTTCTGGCAAGAAAAGTGTACAGCTAACTTGGTACTTTGTTTCTAACCACTACCAAAAAACAAGTAGTTTATCTTTCATTTCATGTCGAATTTTAATGCAAGTAGCTACCATATGGCTTTTATCCCAAACTTTACAAGAGCAGCTGGAAGCTAAATGTAGTAGTTAAAACTACGAAATTCGTAACATGGTTTCTCACCTTTGCCTACAAGTGCTTCAGCCTGAAGATAAGAAGGAACTTGAAGAGAAATATTCTGACAAGCACTGCAAAATAGTATTAAAACCTCAAAAGAAGGAAAAAAATCAGGAATTACATTTGATCACAAACTTTCGCATTACAGTTTTGTCTTATTGATAAAAGTATTGTCAATTCAGAAACAAATTAATCTTCCAATCCCTCAATATTTTTTGTATTCATTTTAAAAGGAAACAGCAAAGAAAGTGGCTTTAGGGACACAACAGTCATTTAGTATCAATAAAAAAATTAAAATGAATAGAGTTCTTAGAACCAGAATTCTATTGCATCCTTTCAAGAAAATGTGTTACAAACCATTGACTCTATATAGAGTTTATCATCTCTAAGACCATTTGTAAATGTCATTCTGATTTCTTAGCATGAAGAAAGTACTTAACTCTGGAATACAATAATCACATATTTGTACACAAATCATCATTTTCACAGCCCCAAGCAATTTGACCTGTAGTTAAATCGAGAAAATATTCGAGGATATTTTTAACCGCCTGAAGACCAACGTCCATAAATATTCACTGATCTCAAATTACTCCTTGGACTTTCTTTGCATAAACTTCAAAGTCTAAATGATATCATTCACAAAACTAGTCTAAAAAGTAATACATTTCAAAATTTAGAGAGTAGACTTCAACTGGGTAAAGATTTTTTTTTTTTTTTTTTTTTTACTGTATGAGGGCCTCTCACTGTTGTGACCTCTCCCGCTGCGGAGCACAGGCTCCGGATGCGCAGGCTCAGCGGCCATGGTTCACGGGCCCAGCCGCTCCGCGGTATGCGGGATCTTCCCGGACCGCGGCACGAACCCGTGTCCCATGCATCGGCAGGCGGACTCTCAACCACTGTGCCACCAGGGAAGCCCCAGGGTAAAGCTTTTTAATTAAATTCAAGACACAAATATTGCTTTCAAAAGCTATATACCTAACTCAAGGAAAGAAGACAGAGACTATCTGAAAAATAAGAGAAAAGCTATCAGTTTAAAAGTGAATGTAAGTTCAAAACCTATTTTACTTATTTTTCTTGGCATTTTCTGTTTATTTGCTTCTTCTACTGTTTTTCCAAATGACAGTTTCGTTATTATTTAAATATAAAACAGAGCTAGGACAGGGCTTCCTTGGTGGTGCAGTGGTTAAGAATACGCCTGCCAATGCAGGGGACACGGGTTCGAGCTCTGGTCCGGGAAGATCCCACATGCCGCGGAGCAACTAAGCTTGTGTGCCACAACTACTGAGCCTGTGCTCTAGAGCCCGAGAGCCACAACTACTGAACCCGAGAGCCACAACTACTGAGCCCACGTGCCACAACTACTGAAGCCCACGTGCCTAGAGCCTGTGTCCGCAACAAGAGAAGCCACTGCAATGGGAAGCCTGCGCCCCGCAGCAAAGACTAGCCCCCACTCGCCACAACTAGGGAAAGCCGGCGTGCAGCAACGAAGACCCAATGCAACCAAAAATCAATAAATAAAATAAATTAATTAAAAAAGAAAAGATTAAGAAAAAAACCAGTCTTGACCAATACAGATACTAATTAAGATGCAATTAAAAAAATAGAGCTAGAACAGATAGGTCAATTTTATAACCAATTTTTCTCTGAGGACATATTTCTAGAGTTATGGGACCCACTATTTGGGAGAAGGAAAGAAAACCATCAGCCATATTATGGATGTATATTTCTTTTCTAACTCAACCCAAGTTTATTGGCTATATGGTGTCAGCCTATTTAAACAGTCTGTAATTTTACAATAACTCAGGCAGATAATACTAAAAACTGGAATTTAAAGTTGCATTTGTATTCCGCTTTAAATAACCACTTTTTAGAAAATGAGTCTTGGGCTTCCCTGGTGGCGCAGTGGTTGAGAGTCTGCCTGCCGATACAGGGGACGCGGGTTCGTGCCGTGGTCCAGGAAGATCCCACATGCCGTGGAGCAGCTAGGCCCGTGAGCCATGGCCACTGAGCCTGTGCTCTGCAATGGGAGAGGCCACAACAGTGAGAGGCCCGCGTACCGCAAAAAAAAAAAAAAGAAAATAAAAAATGAGTCTTATTTCTTGACTTATAATATTTTTATTCCTTTTTTTAAAAAATAATGATTACTTGTTTTTATTATAAATTTACTTATTTTTGGCTGCATTGGGTCTTCGTTGCTGCACGCGGGCTTTCTCTAGTTGTGGCTAGCAGTGGCTACTCTTTGTTGTGGTGTGCAGGCTTCTCATTGCGGTGGCTTCTCTTGTTGTAGACCACAGGATCTAGGCACACAGGCTTCAGTAGTTGTGGCTTGTGGGCTCTAGAGCACAGGCTAAGTAGTTGTGGTGCACGGGCTTGGTTGCTCCGCAGCACGTGGGATCATCCTGGACCAGGGCTTGAACCCATGTCCCCTGCATTGGCAGGCGGATTCTTAACAACTGCGCCACCAGGGAAGTCCCAATGTTTTCATTCTTAATACCAGGGAATGAAGTACACAGTTACAAAGTTATTAAAAACCTAAGTGGAAGCCAAGATTCTGTATTTTTTCAAGACTGTCACATTTTTCTTTATTATTTTTTTTCAAGTTAAACACCTTGCTTGAACTAAGAGCTCTGCCCTTCTTTTAGCCCTTCCTGGGTAAAATTAAGAAAGTCCTGGATATTTCACCTCTCCACCCAGAATCCTTTTCCTCTTCTAGCAGCTCAGTGGAGCTAAGTATGTTAAATAAGTACAGCTTATTTACTAGTAGCAAAAGCAAACCTCAGAACCTCCTGGGTCAAATGGCTGAGGAGTGAATTCATTCCATCACTCCTTAGAAAAACACCACAGCAAGACTGAACAGGGGATTCCCTTGAAAAACCAACAGGTTGGCAGTGGAAACTTGAAGAGCAAACCAAACACCTGCCATCCCGGGTCACAAGTCTCTCAACTCTTCCTTGAATTTTTCTCAGATCTGTTTTTGTTCTCCCAGTCTGCCTTCGCTGCCTTCCACTACCACCCTACTCTCTTTCAAGCCCAGACTAAAGGAGGGAAACGCACAGTAACATGCTTGAACTCCCTAATCCTTTGCTTGTTACTCACCAGAAAAGAGAAAAGGAGCTGCTTAGAGAAGACGCTCCCTGGGGCAGTGGAGGCCCCAGCCATCAGAAGCAGTCCCAATGGTCATGGGTGGTGGCTGGATAACAGGGAAGCTTGGGATGCACAGGGTGGCTTCAGCAGATTCCCGACAGCTGGCACCTTGACGTGGATGAGCTTGATTTGGAAAAGAGTCAGGAGGCAAGTGGTAAAAATGACAGAAGGAGGAGCCCCAGAACAATTGCTTTCCTCCTATTCTCAGGTCAGTCCTCCTCCTTCAATTCAATTACCTTGGAATGGAAAGAGGTTTTCCTAGAAGTGGGGAGGGTGGGGTACCACTAGCTCTTCCTCACAGCTTTCAAAATTTCTACTGCCACTTGACACATAGGCAGAAGCAACAGGGAGCACCCTCAATCCTCAGCCTTCCTCTCTTTCCCCCCATGTTAATGCTCTGAAGTCCTCCGTGGCTATTACCCACTCCCATGTCCTCCCCTCCTTCTTGGCCTTCTTGGCCCTGGGTACAAACATAGATTTTGTGTGCACAAACTCCACTCAAAGAAGTGATGCCTCCTCAGCTGCCATTGGCAAATCAGGAATACACAACCTGCAGTCACATCTATCAGAAGTTATCTCCCCATCTAAGCATTTTGGTGTAGTCTGTCACACCTAGCACTGCAGTTCTGCCCGAGGTCTGGCGCTCTGGTCCACAGCAGCAACTTCACAGATGTGTTGTGTCTACTCCTTATTATTGTCTGCGTGCTGTGGTTTGATTTTCTAGATGTCAGAGGAATTTCCTACAGTGCATATTGAAGTTATACAAGTAAGTGAATAAAGAAATATCTGGGGGCTTCCCTGATGGTGCAGTGGTTGAGAGTCCGCCTGCCGATGCAGGGGACACGGGTTCGTGCCCTGGTCCAGGAAGATCCCACATGCCGCGGAGCGGCTGGGCCCGTGAGCTGCAAAAAAAAGAGGCCACAACAGTGAGAGGCCCGCGTACCGCAAAAAAAAAAAAAAAAAAGAAATAGTTGGGATATAATTTTCTTATTGCAGTCCTTAAAATTTTTAAATTCAGTTTACTTAAACTAAAAAAGGAAAAACCCAGTTCACCCATTTCTCCCACCATTTCCCATCCCCTGTTTCTTCTTTTAAACCACCAATCTATTCTTTGTATCTTTGAGCTTGGCTTTTTATTTATTTATTTTTTCTTAGATTCCACATGTGAGTGAGATCATGGGTACTTGTCTTTCTCTGACCTACTTATTTCTCTGACCTACTTATTTCGTTTAGAATAATGGTCTGTTCACGTTGTTGCACATGGCAAGATTTCACTATTTTTATAGCTGAATAATATTCCATTGCATATATATACCATAGTTTCTTCATCCATTCGTTCATTGATGGGCACTTAGGTTGATTCCATATCTTGGTTATTGTAAATAATGCTGCAATGAACACAGAGGTGCATATATCTTTTCAAATTAGTGTTTTCATTTTCCTTGGATAAATACCCATAAGTGGAATGGCTGGATATGGTAGTTCTATTTTTACTTTTTTGAGGAAGCTCCATACGGTTTTCCATAGTGGTTGTACCAATTTACATTCCCACCACCAGTGCACAAGTGTTCCTTTTCTCCACATCCTCACCAACATTTGTTATTTCTTGTCTTTTTGGTGGTAGCCACTCTAACAGGTGTGAGGTGATATCTCATTGTGGTTTTGATTTGCATTTCCCTGTTGATTAGTGATATTGAGCATCTTTTCATGTACCTACTGACCATCTGCACATCTTCTTTGGAGAAATATCTATTCAGATCTTCTGTCCATTTTTAAATTGGATTGTTTGCTTTTCTGCTATTGAGTTGTATGAATTCTTTATATGTTTTGGATATTAGCCCCTTATCAGGTATATGACTTGCAACTGTTTTCTTGCATTCAGTAGTCTGCCTTTTCATTTTGTTGATAGTTTCCTTTGCTATGCAGAAGCTTTTCAATTTATATAGTCCCGCTTGCTTGTATTTGCTTTTGTTGTTTTTGCTTTTGGATTAGATTCAAAAAATCAAGGCCAAGATTTATTTCAAGGAGCTTACCACCTACGTTTTCTTTTAGGACTTTATGGTTTCAAGTCTTATGTTCAAGTCTTACTCATTTTGAGTTTTTGTGTATGAAGACTATGGTCCTGTCTCATTTTTTTGTATTTGGCTCTCCAGTTTTTCTAGCACCATTTATTGAAGAAAGTCTCCTTTCCCCATTGTATATCTTTGGCTCCTTTGTCATAAATTAACTGACTATATATGTGTAAGTTTATTTCTGGGCTGTTTATTCTGTTCCATTGATCTATGTGTCTGTTTTTATGCCAGTACCAGAATTTTTTAAAAAAAAAATGATATTAGGAGGTACTTCTCATAGGCTGCATCCTGGTCAGGGCCCTCCTAGTCCTCATTGAGGAGGTAGTGCCCCTTGGCCGACATTTTCCACCCTTGGCACACCCTCCCAGCAGTCCACTAAGGAAACCCCAAGGCCTGGGGAGCTTCTGTCTGCCCCTGTGCACCCGGGCCTCTGGCCTCTCCAAACCTGGCAGGAGGGGCTGAGGATGCACCCCCTCAGCCTGTAGCTCCACAGGCACACGGGCCTGCACTGCTCCAGCTGCCAGGCCTTACTCATTGCATCACTGGACTCTTCCTTTGCATCCTTTGCATCCAGGCTCAGCTGACCAGACATGCGGGTCCTCAGCTCTGCTTCTGCTGCTCCACTCTGCTTCTGCTCCTGCAACCATCACCCGAGTGCAATACCATGCTATTTTAATTACTCTAGCTTTGTAATAGAGTTTGAAAGCAGAAACCATGATGCTTCCAGCTTTGTTCTTTCTCAAGGTTGCTTTGGCTATTCTGGGCCTTTTGTGGTTCCATACAAATTTTAGGATTGTTTGTTCTATTTCTGTGAAAAATAATATTGAAATATAAATATTAATTCTTTTCTTACTGCTTTCTTTTTATTACTCATGAGGAGATTTTTTTCTTGAATATCTTTATTCAAGAACACCTACGATCTAAGACCAACTCTTTTTAAAATCACTCCATTCATCCAAATTACTTGTACATTACATGCAGGATATCCTAGTGTAAAAGTACATTATTCCATCGAGCTAAGTTTTGTAAACACTAATGACCCTTGCAATGGAGACTTCAGAATCGTTTCTCTTATCACAACTCAATGAGTTCAATATCAGTCTCACACAACAGCAGTGATGGAACTTAGGAAAGGAGGGTAGATATTTTCAAATGGTAATTGCTTAATTTGGGTTATAGAAAGGGAACTAAAATTCATATTTAGGGAATTCCCTGGCGGTCCAGTGGTTAGGGCTCCACACTTTCACTGCCAAGGATGTGAGTTCAATCCCTGGTCGGGTAACTAAGATCCCCACAAGCCACGTGATGTGGCCAATGAATAAATGAATGAATAAACAAATAAATAATAAAATTCCTATTTAATGAGCCACTGTTAAGAATCAGAAACCATGACAGACATTTCACTGAATCCTCCCAAACATCCCAGGGCTCCTTTCAAATAATGAAAACTTGAGAAATTTGAGAAATTTCAGATAATGAAAACTTGAGAAATAATCCAGAGATGATGGAGAAGTAAATGTTTGAGCCCAGGTCTGACTGCCACCAAAATGCTACTCTTTTCACTCTCTCATGCTATTTTGACAATAAATGTATATCAATATATTAAAAATGAGCAGAAAATGATGACTGAGTATGTGAGAATTCTGTCTTATTGAGCAATAAGCCTGTTTGAGGCCAGTGAAATGTATTCAGAAGCAGTTATAACCTATACCTCTTGATTACAGTCAATCATCCTAGAATACTGTGAGCATCTGGTCTCTTTTGTGAGCATCACTGTAGTCAAGTAAAATGGCTGTTTGACTACTTACTTTGTAAATGTTTATACTTGAAATTACTCTTCCTGCTCTTGTTACTTACATTTCTACCTCATGTTTAACTGAAAAGAAAAGGTACAGTTCAATCCCCATGCTGCTGAGAAAGGAAAAATGGAAGATTTACTTTTGCTTATTTGACTGTGAATGTAGAAATGGAAATAATAATATAATTGCTTCTTTGGAATTAGAGGCCAAGAAGGCTTGGGAAATAAAATGTTCTGGAAAAAGAATTAGATGATGTTTTGTAATATATTATTGCCAAAGGTACAACCACCAATAAATATTTACTTTGAATCTGCATTGGAATTTGATTTCTCAATGAAGTGAAAATAAAATCACTTTAATTAGGGACTTCCCTGATGGTCCAGTGGTTAAGAATCCGCCTTCCAATTCAGGGGACGTGAGTGAAAGACTTAAGTCTAAAGACCCACCTGACCATTGTAGTTCTTTAGCTTTTAGCTTAAGAGGTGTCAAGAATATAAGCCTTTCTATAAATTTCAAAGAATGTGTCTTATAGAAATACAGTGACAAATTTCATAAAAGATATTTATTCATAGCTAACTTGCAGAAATTACTGGTTATGAATAAATTCAAGGCCTCAAAATAACCTCTTACTCATAAAATTATTATCTGTTAGGTGATCCAATTTTTTCTAACAGACTTTGGACTGGTAGCAATGCTTTATACATTAATAAAGCCTAACAAGGCATTTTGGGTTAAGTTTACATGGCTGAAGATAACAGAAACTACAGGGGTAAAATAGGGTGTGTGGTCTTAAAATAGAAGATTAGAAGTGTATGAACAAATTAAAAAGAAGTCAACTATAGAAGACATCTGGGTCTCAGGAGTTTAATTCTCGGGGAAAATCCCTTCAATTCCAATGAACTCATGGACTTTTTTCTGGGTAAAAGGTTATTAAAACTTAGAAGCAACTCATAGGTATTGACGATTACTAGCAATGATTTCTTAAGGCTGTTTACATAGAATACTGACTAATTTTACATAAAATGACTACTTCCCATTATTATCAAAATTGTTGGCAGACTTATGAAATGTCAGCATAAATATCCGTATAATTTAGAACTCTATTCAGCACACACACCAAACTCAAATTGGCTTAAGAGAAACAACAAAACAAAACAAAATTGTTGAGGATAAAGGGATTTGTTAGGTCATGTAATTGGAAAGTCCTGGGATCTCCTAGATTCAGGCATAGCTCAAGCCAA